TCGCATCCGCCACTATAGCAAATTGTGTTTTATACACTTGCCAGGATGTCTTTCCATCATATGTGGATAGCTTCAGAGATGGACGAGTAGGCATCGGTAAGAATTTAAACACTCACTATTATTCCCTGCCGTCGCTACGAATTTCTTTAAAATATCCATTTCTTTGGCAACTGCAGAAACTCTCTCATCAATTTGTTGTTCGATTTGGTGTTGGACGGCACAAACTCTTCCTTCAATTCGTTCCTCCACAGCAGAAACTCTCCCTTCTATATGTTCTTTTGCAGAAGAAACTCTTTCTTCTATTTCTTCTTTCACCGAAGAAACTCTTTCTCCAATTAGTCCAACTTTATTTTCAACTGTGTCAATTCTGCCTTCCATAGCTTCAAATTTATTTTCTATTATGCAGGTAATCTCTCTTTTCATTTCTTCTTGACCTGCTTCAATCTTTTCTTGACCAGCTTGAACGGCTTTCATTTCATTTCGTCCTTAACAGAGTTGACGGCCCCTTCCATCTTTCCTTGGCTAGATTTCATCTCTTCTTTCATTTCTTCTTTAAACGAGGCAAAGGCTGTTATCAATTGCCTTAACTGCTCTTCCATCGCTCTTGTTATTGGCATTCAAACCCCACTCCTGACACCAAAAATTGTTGCGTGCGTACGGATTCGTTACTAAATGAATGCACAAGTCCGATGAAAAATGAACAAAAATTTATTATTATCACAACAAAAATGCTTAAATTTTCTCAAATTATCACGCATCACGCAGTATTACAATATCTCACTGTAGTTTTCTTTTAACTACTCAAATGTCCAATAGAACGTAATTCAAAACAGCTAAAGAACGCTAATCCGCGAATTCGCTACAATCAACAACAGTAGTTTTCTAAACAACAACAAACTAAGCAACTACTACGAACTGAGATGTTTTCCTCCTTTTATAACATTTTAAAATCACGCGCTAGAATTTTCCAGTACTTTCTCGAAATGAAAAAGAGTTATTTATTTATTTAATGCACGCGCTCTTGTATTTTCAATTTTCCGGCTTAGCTTTCTTTTAATATTCGTCACGCGCTGCACTGCGCGAGAAATAAAACCATTTAATTTATAATTGAACTAACATTTGCTTTTTAAATACCAAATTCGTAACAATATTCTTAAAAGTTCTTTATCTCATAAAATCCGATTGCAAAAAGTACGTAATTTGTAAAGAATATGATAAACCTGCAATTGAGAAGGTGTTGGTGTATGTGATTATGGCAAAGCCTCGAGAGCTATTTGCCTAAGAGGAGGGTTGCCTTCGTTTAGGACTTTCTAGGGGAAACTGGCTCGTATACACCTTAGACATGGGGAAAACCAGAAAAACGCCCATGCAGTCAGCAAATTCGTGGGATTCGAACCTCTGACCGAAATACCAGTGTTCAACGACTTTACCGCTCGGCCGCTGGAGGGCAAATTGTGAAGGAGGATAAGTCATAAAAATTCTTCTTCGTTTTCTCAAATAATTTCTTCTTTGTTCTGAAACAAAATTTATTGAAATTAATACTAAAATAGAGCGTAAAATAAAATTCAGACAAATTGTGGTAAGGATTATTTTGGTATGTCATAATTATGAAAAATATTTCCTTCCTGTAAGTGTATAAGATATAAACAGATTATTGTGATTCTTGTTGTATACAAAACAGAGAATTTTGGATTGTTTTATATCGTGATGAAAAATGCGAAATATTGGCTTTTACACCAGAAAAACAAATTGTTACACATCTATCCTTCAATTATTTATCCTCTTAATCCTATAAATTTACTTTGCTCTTTATAGTTTAAGTTACTTATTTTTAAGGTACGTATGGTGCTATAAATTTAAGACATGTGTGAAAGCAATTTGAATAACGTATACTCTTGAGTCTTACACCAGCAAAAAATATATTAAAAATTCCTCACCAGTTTTTCTTTTTAGTCACAAAATGCAAAACTATAATGTTTTGAAGACGAAGTGACAGACATCAGGCGTTACTCTGCAATAGATGTAAACTTAGTAAAATATTGTGAAATTACTTTTAAAAACTTAAAATGCAGTATAGGTCCGATCATCCCGCATCAACTAGTCTGATACATCCAATAATCCAACATTACTTTCCTCAAAATTCTTATTATAAGATGACCTACTAACATTCTACGGTACCGAAAGGCCCGGGTTCGAATCCCGGAGAAGACATGGATGTTTGTAAATGTATAGTGTCGATGCAGCAGGGTGGCACTCTAAATATGCGGCGAACCGAAAGCCCTCTCATGTGGGTTGGTGGAAGGGGAGAGGGATGGGAGAACCTCGGATCCTCCCGGAGTGCTCTCCCTCAAAATCGGGGGTGGAAAATAGAAGTTCAATCTCTCTTCGGAGTAGCTCTGGCAACCATTGTTCCATGTAATATGGACTAGACAACAGCAACCTACTAACATTTCATTCATCAATATTTAGAAAGTCTTGGCAGTTTCTTCACGCCGTTTTGACATTTTTAGTTGTTTTTTGCTCGAAACTAGTGTATAGATTCCAAACTAGAGTAGCAGTTGTTCGAAACTAGCGTAGTTCTAAACTAGCGAATATATCAGTTATATATTTTCCTGACTTCCAGTGCTTCTAAACCTACGAAATCTGGTAGATTTGCAAGAGAAAGAACTAAGTTTGGCACGAATAAAACTTTACAAAATGCTTGGTGAAAATTATGGCCAAATCACACGAAGGAAAATTCTATCGAAAAAAGAGGAAATATTAATGATCTAATGACCACGATTTTGAGTTGTCGGAAACTCTAGTCCATTAATTCCGTTTAAAAAAAAAGAACTTAACCAGTGGTGGAAGAGCTAAATGGCGAAGTCATAATTCAAACGCAATAAGCAAAAGAAATGGAGAATAATGAATATTCAACTAAGAGCGTTTAGTGTGGAGCGGGTGAAACTTTTAAATATTTTGTAAGTTAACCGATAATGCTAAAACTAAAATATTGCAGAAACATGAATATTCATATTCTCCAGACTTTTATTTATTTGTTTATTTATTTGAAAAACAGCTGAAAATTTTCATATATTAGCAATACCAATTGCTTCAAAGAAAAAGATTGTGGTGTTGCGTGGCCCCAACTTGTCCGCAACAGTAGTAGTGACTGCTATGAAATGGAAATTACACAAACTCTTAGAAGGGTTTAACTCCCCTTTTATTCCACTTTAGAAGTTACAGATGCGTTCACTTGACACTCACAAACTACGCCGACCCGGCGGTTAAATAAAAAGAGAAAAGTACAACTAAAAATAAATAACAGGATACATAACTAATGAAGTCACTATCTAAGAGGCTCTATAATTGCAACTATCTTAACCGCGCTGAGATTCAGCAAACTTTCGAATTGAGAAGTTGAAAGTTTCAACGAACTGCCGGAGTAGGCACACAGGCCGAAACGCGCGGTTCTTAAATTTCTACCTAGCAACATTCACGCTCGTGAATCAAGAAGCACACCTACAAACTCGCTTCTCTCTTCTATTTAACTCAAAATAACTTCTGTTAAAAATTTGAATACCCTGCGCGTTCTACTAAAATTTACATACTCTGGCATTGTCAATTCCAGGGGAAAGTAAAGGCTTGACAGGAAAAGATAGCTTAAACTTAAAATAAATGTTAGTTAAAATAAATATAAACCCCTACAAGATAATTAAATATTGCTTCACTATGAATAAATGTATTACTCTTATATTCTATAGATTAAATATGTTTACAAGGATTATTATATGCCATATTTTCAATTTATCAGTGCATGAGGAAGTGCATACGTCATCTTATAATTTTACTCCGATAATATCTATCCGATACTATCTACTCCGATATGGTACATTTGATAATCTGGCATCATTGAAATCCCGAATGAGATGAGTTATCGGACTTCTGCTCAGTACTGGTTTTGCAACAGGTGATTAATTTAAAATGACATATATATTTCACATTATTCGGTTACGAACTTGAAGTCTTTTTCAGACTATGCAACCAACATTTTATTTTTAACTCACTTAAACGTAGTATAACTTTACCCGGTACGCCTTGCTTTCGCATATTATGCAGTTGTCTTGAAACTACAAGTAAATAACATTATCAAATGATAACTATCTAGCAACAAAGCAAGTAAAAATAACATCAAAGAAATTCTAAAATTATAATAAGCAAACGAGAATGAAAACGGAGAGGAAAAGCGATACCATATAACGAAAATAAACTTCAAATCAACAGGTGTTAGAACTTGAGGCTAAGTAATGCAATGGCTTGAAGCTCAAATTGTGGGCTTCGTTAACAACGCCAGTTATACGCAACCAAAAGCTAAATTTAACGAAAACTGCAACTGAAAATACTTGAAATGCTTTTTTTTTTGGGGGGGGGGAACCAGACATGAAAATCACATCTTTGAAACAAGACTTAATATTTGATTTTATGCACATACATGTCTTACGCACTGACGTTTTGAGTGTGTTATGCATTTCTATTTTGTTTGTTTACATTTTACTCAAAACGTTGTTGATTGAAATGTATTCAAGTATTTTTGGAGTTCAATTTCAAATGCATACGTATGCAAGCTCTTTACAATATATATTCGAATATTTATTTGGCTAATGTTTCACTTTCACTAAAGCTGTTATAATTCTGGATGTACCCCCAGTATTATGACGAAAAAGTGCTATAGCTGTTGTTCATTTATTTACAAATATAGAAAGACTTCTTGCATCCTCAGAAATGATTCATTATGCCGTTTGCTATATAATTTTGCCTAACGCTTAGCTGTAGAACAAGAGCATTTCATGTATGCTTTCGCTAAGACTTTATCCAAATGTATTTGCCATTGTGTAGCAATGTAATTGATTACATGCAATCCGCTGGAATCCCCAAACAGGCAAGCATGACAATGCGCAGGCGCCCGTATATTGCGAGGTTTGCCTTCACATTGCATCCTCTCCTCACACGTTCCACAAGTAGCCTGGAGTCCTCTTCAAGCAGCGCGCGGAGGAAAAGAGTGCCGGCGCACGGAAGGTAGTTGTACCGGCGAAATCGATTGGCGAATCGTTCACACAGCTTTTGTTTTAATCGTGCCACCATAATAATCACATGAGGCAACGGCTGTGAGCGATTTAAACATGTTTCCTCTATTCTAACCACATATTCGACTTCCGTTTTGTATTTCTGGTCAAGCTACAATTTTATCTGAGAGGTAAGGTTATGTAAACATATTACAATATTTACGAATTTAATTTATATGTTTAACAACTTAATGTAAATGACTTTTCTAAGAATAAACAACGCGAGTAATGAGTTTTACAACCATCTGTTACTTTAAATTTCTTTGATTGATTAATAGTTTAAAAAATAAGGTACACAGTTTCTTTATTATAGTGCCTTTATTATTTTCCTGTGCATATCAATTCAAGTTTATTAAAAATAAACAACGTACGTAATTTACTAATAAATTAAACATGATTTATAATCATGTTTAATTTCTTCTTGGTAATATTTTAAAGAATAGTAATTCCAGTTACGCTTCATACATAAACATATTGTTGCTGAATAAAGTCATTTTATCACTCGCTCATAAGCTTTGGGACTAACAAAATCGTATTAATTGTATACAACCGTGATACAATCATCGTAATTTATGAACACAATTAATTTGCACATAAATTCCAAGAGCTGTATAAAATTAATTTTAATACTATTCTTAAAATCCACTAGTTTTTTACTATACAGTTTTAGAGTTGCAAAGCAAAATAAATCAGGTAGTAGAGCATTTATGATTCAAATTCTGGAAAGAATTGTTGTAAGATGTATTAAAAAATACCATTCCGATTTGTATGATCTCATGCTGAATAGAAATTAGATAATTAGAAACAAGCACAGCAAACGGAATGAATGGAGTTTTGAAATTTAAATTATGCCTCCTCTTCTCCTATTTTCTGCTCTAGAGTAGAGAATTTGAAAAGCATTTTATGTTTTAAGTCTGAAAAGTATTTCTTTCATACTCTGATAGTCAACAAACATAATCTTGTTCATTTATAGATGACAAACAGGTAGCTGTTATAGTTGCTTAGCGTGGCACAGTGAAGAAATCTGTTATTTTCAAGATTCCAAACCCATTGCTCGACCTAAGGAAACTAAATTTGTGATTTTATACTAGCTTTTCCGAGGACATTAAGATCGTGATAACCGAATGGTATTTTACGTGCGGTATTGTGACATAGCTGTTAATTGTTTTTGTTTAAATTTCATTTTAAGTGATTTTTAAGAATTTAAAGAATAATCCTTCTGAAATTTCGCTTATTTTTTCACTTATTTTTCTTTTTGCATAGATTATCGAAATACGCTAATTTATTTCATTTCGTTTAAATATATATTGATAAAGATAGAGGGTATTGAAAACATTGCTTCAGTTTAAAAATCGAATTCAACAATGCAAGATTTTAGGCTATAACAATTTTTATTACATCTATGAGAATTTTTTTTTCATGCCATTGTAGTCAAAAATATTCTCTCTGCTATAATCGAAACTATTTAAGACTACATTAATAAAATGTTTCACAATCATATACAAATATTACAAAAAGATCTATAAAATTAAGTTTTTAATTCATCTATAATTTTTAAGTTCTAGAAGGTTTGTTTTTATATGATATGATATTAAAAATCAAAAATTTTAATCTACCTTAATTCAGTTTCCATATAGCGTCTAATGGCAATATATTTTTCTGGCAAGTTTCATCAAGGAAACTGGCTTAACTCATAAAATAAAATAACAATAAAATGTTTTAAGCATTTTTCAGTGTAAAGTTTGCATACAAAAGCCTTTTTTTATAACGGCGCAGGATAGATTTGTCGTATAATTAATGATTTAATAACTAGAGCTTTCTTTATAGAAGACACGTATAAATTTTAATTTTATATATTCGTACCAAAAACTTAAAACATTTTCCGTGCCTTTTAAAGTTAATTTCTCAAAAGGGAATAATGGATTAATAATCAACAAATCATTCAAGCCATATTAAATTGTGCCATCGTTTTGGCCCACTCTTTACATCCTGCACTCAGTATATAACCTTCATATAGCTTTCTTTTGCATTAGAAATATCTTCAAGGGAGTTTTTCGAAACCTTCTGTAGCCTTATGTTACATCAATTACGTTATGCTACCGGGCATTTATTACTCTCGCTAACTCGTTAAGTCCTGTCATCACGAGAAACAAAGAATCGTTAATACACTTTCTATATGGACTTAAAAAATTGTTCCCAAAGTGCGGCCACTCGACAAAGCAAAAGATCTTCAATTTATCTTTTCCATTTAATCAGTCTGTAACAGCTTATCGGTCTGAGCGACCTAACAGCAATAAACACGATTTTTAAAACTTTAATCCTAAAAGTTTTAATTTTACTTTTATTCATAATATATCTAAGTGATGTAACATAAAGCATCTTTTCTTTGCAGTATAGCCAACTGATATTTATCTTCAACAATATAGAATTATTTTAATTTCTAAATTAGCATTAAATAATTAATTATTATCTAAAAAATACCTTTAACGCTATGTATTACTTACCTCGGCACTGAATCGTTTGATTTAAAGTAAACTATTACTCCATAATCAATGATCCTAAAGGGGTTTAAAAGGTATATCCGGTGACTTGATGGTGTCTACCACATTTCTCCATATCCATACTATAGAAATAAATTTTTGGTTAAGAGCTTAGTGCTAAAAACAATTAACTTTTCTTTTAAAATTATAATAATTCTATTTCTTATGCGGTACTTACACTCCAGCACATACAAACAAAGTAGCAGAAAAAGACGCACTAAGAAATTTTTCAAATGAGATGACATTCGGTAGATGTGATGTATATGTATGGAAAAGGAAATGATTAAAATTATTTAAAAAAAGCTGAGTATTTAGTTAGAAGATACATATAGAGAATAAATCCTCAAAGCGTTGACCCAACTCTTCCTAATTTAAGCTGTTATCCGGCTTGATATTGACTTTAATGTGGGATTTCTTACCAAACTCTCTCCAATTATCGAGTTAGATAGGCGACATCCTCGGACGGCTGGAGCCGTTTGCTCCTCGGACTGCAAACATGCTTTATTAGGGACAGATCTGGATATTTAGCTAGGCGAGAAAACATTTGATAAGTACGAAAATAATCAGTAAAAATGGTGCTGGGTATTATCAACTTGAAATGTTAGCCCGGAGTGCCTCAAAATAAAGGGCAGCATAAGAAGGCGTAAAATATCGTCGACATACCGCCTAATTATAAGGGATCACTTACATGGATGAGAACCCATAGAATTCCATTAGCAAATAAAATGGCTTAAGAGACTATAAATTCCTGTTTTGGGGCTGTATGATGGGCAGAAGTCATTAAGGTGTCTAGACATGTCCTTGTTGATCACTGTGGTTCATTTCTTCGAAGAGGGATTTATCATCGTTGAAGACAATTATAGTCCAGTTATTGAGATTCCACTGAGACGAGTCCAGAATCACTACAGATATGCTTATCGGTATGTACAGGTTAAGGATAGTCAAATTAATGACCTTCGTGAACCTAGGCCCCGTTCTTTGACTACCCTATAAATGGTCCTTGCGAACACTAGTATCCTAAAAATACCTCTGATCGCTAACAGTGACGAATCAGGTGTTATGAGAGCCTTCTGACCGCAGATTAATCCTTATGCTCTGCCGTCTCCCTAGATCAGCCGCTGTGCTTTGCCATGGTTAAAATATTCCTGCCAATGTCCTCGAATGCGGTATCTCTCCGATTCAGATATTCACGATCCTTCAGTTTGACAGGCCGGGCTTTTTTAAGCCGATTCCACGTCCTTTCTCAACTCGCGACATAAGTTTATACTATCCACCAGTCCTTTTGCAAGGCATTGGTACAGTGAGCAGACGGGATCAAATTCGAATGGAAGGTATGCCCTAGAAACTGTTCTTTTTGTGGATCATTGCTCTCTACTGCTATGATATGTAGCTCCAACTATTCATTCGCCACCAAACGTTAACCATCTGCATGCTGGATCGACAGGTATTCGCGTACAATATTTTGCTGTGATCAGGTAATTCCTGCTCTGTGCGCTTTTTTTTTATGAAAATAAGCTTAAGGTTGCTTTCCAAGCTGAATACAAGTACATACTTTTTGGTACATATACAGGTCCTAATAAAAGTGATTTCATTGTCAGCTTTGCACTATTTATTGGGCAGAGCAGTCGATTCAGTTACTCCGACGTACGGCTGAAATAATACGAGTTTTAGAATTGTATTTCATTTCTTCGTATTATTTAAACCAACAGAATTTAAATTTTCGTTTAATTATTTTCGTTTCTGTTATTTACGACATTATCTTTGGAGATATTTAGACTAATATTTTAGAAAAATAGGCTAGGACGTGCAAAATTGGAAGCATTTCACAGAGACAGACAACAAATGAGCGCGATTTAGCATAACAATTTATATTGGTTAATTGTTCATGCTAAACCAGACGGTAGTTATCTAGCCTAGGAACTACGTTGTCATTATGCGTATGACAAAATGAAATATTTAAAAATGTTATGTCAACTTCCTTCCATAATAATATTTATGCCGCTGGTTGATATAATTTTTATGTATTTTCTCCCTCCTTTCTGCATACCTTCAGGGTGTAACGGTTAGTGCACTAGGCGCGTAGTCGAGAGGTCCAGGTTCGAGTCCCGGCGAGGGCATTGCACATATTTCACTTCTCCAGTATCAAAAAACCCCAATTTCTCTATAATTTAACTGATAATGTTTACGAGCATTTATATTTTAGAGTAGTTCATAAGAGATTTATCTTACGTTTGTTATATACTCGTCTAAAGAAGGAAAAAGTCTTCCCTACGATAATTAGCGATTTGCTAATTGAAACTCTCCAGTAGATGGAATGGGTAAAAATCTAAATGTTGTCTTTTATGGTTAAAATGTGTTGTTATAGTTTTATATTTTTTTAATTATTGTTTTCCCCGTGCTATCATATCAACTTTTTTGGGGTCCAACGGGATGAAAGTTAGTAATGTGTATCAGAGCAAAGCTCTTGAAGTTAAGAGACAGCTTTTGGCAGTGATCGCTGCCTAAAGTTCTCACTAATGGTTTCACACAGCTTCTAATATTACTTTAATCCACTATAGGTTTTGCTATCTGCCTTTGCCCGCGTGAATCGA